GAGTGATAGATACCTTGAGTTTTATTACAATATTCTTTCTATGTTTGTATATATTTGAAATTTTTCATTAGAAAACACTTTAAGGGGCGCCTGGGTGGCTCAGTCGTTAAGCATCTGCCTTCGGCTCAGGTCATGATCTCAGGGTCCTATGATGGAGTCCTGCATCGGCTCCCTGCTCCGTGGGAAGCCTGCTTCTCCCTCTCCCACTCCCCCTGCTTGTGTTCCCTCTCTCCCTGTGTCTCTATCTGTCAAATAAATAAAATCTTTAAAAAAAGAGAGAGAAAACACTTTAAGAGGGGGCACCTGGGTGGCACAGTCGGTTAAGCGTCTGAGTCCTGATTTCATCTCAGGTCAAAATCTCACGAGTCACGGGTCATGAGATCAAGCCCCACATCAGGCTCTGCGCTGAGTGTGGAGCCTGCTTACAATTCTCTCTCTCCCTCTGCCCCACCCCACCTCCCCCCAAAAATAAAAATTAAAAATTAAAATAACTAAAAAAAAATTTTAAGAAAAAAATACCCTAAGAAAAGTAAACAGTCAAGCTACAAATAGAAGATATGTGCAATACAGATAAGCAAGAAAGGACTGCTACCTGGAGTCTCTGAAGAGCCCCTATAATCAGCACAAAAAGAAGAAACAACACACTAGAGTGGGCAAAAGACATGAACAGGCACTTCCCAGAAGTAATATATTTGGCCAAGAAACACACAAAGACATGCTTGAGAATTAAGAAAATGCAAATCAAACAACAATGAGATGTCATTTAGCAAAAAGTGAAGTCTGACAACTGTAAGGCTTTCAGAAACAATGTGGATTGAGAGGATCTCTCATGCATTGGTACAATTTATTCAAATAATTTGATACTATCTTCTAAGGCTGAATTTCATGTACCTCCCCCACCCGATCAGCAACTCCATTCCTCAGGTTAGGACCAAGAGAGCAGTTTAGAACACTTGTATGCATGTACCAGGACACACATGTAAGAACATTCCAGGCAGTGTTGTTTCTCAGAACCAGAACCCAGGGAAAACAAAATGTACAGTAACACAACAGATCGTTATGCAACTGTGAAAATAACTGAACTACAGCTACATGCAACATGAACGAATCTTGAAAAGCTATTATGCATGAAGGAAGTAAATCAGATAATAGTACAGACAGCATGACTTTCTTTTTACAATTAGTAAAAATAATTACAATTAAACAACACTGTGCTTATGCCTCTCTATGTGGAAAGAACTGTTCTTTAAGAAGCAAGAACATGATAACACAAAATCAGAATCAGGTTCACCTTACTTACGTGCAGGTCGGTGGGATGGGACAAGAGAGACAAACGTAAGTTACTGCTAATGTTCAAGTTCCCAGGTTAGATAGTGGGGCTCGCGATGTTTATTACTTCTAAGAATGGATAGGGAAGAAAGCACAAGCAAAAAGAGCGCTTAGAGACCACGCCACCAATTCAGGCAGAAGAGGATGGTGGCGGGCTGGGTGGTAGCGGTGGGGCTGGAGAGACGCACACAGAATCGAGATTCAAGGTGTAGAAATGACAGACCCTGGTAACGGCATGGATGTGAAGCTGAGGGAGAAGGAAGGGTGGATTTGATTCTTACAGGTTTCAGATTTTAGGAGCTGGGTGGAGAGCGGGGGCCATTTAACAGGAAAGGGAGCCAGACGTTTATGACGTGCTGCAGAGTTTCGTGGTGGACACGTGGCCATCTCCCTCATAGCCAGTCCAACCACCCCCCACTGTGAGGCAACAAGCAGTGAGGGTGAGAATTTAATCACCCTCTGCTCCAGAGACACAACTCCTGATCTGTTTGAGCTAAAAAGCATAACACCGACACATGCATGGCCCAAATGCACATTTCTGGAGGGACGCTCAGACACCTTAGTTTGGTGTTGAAAGAAACCAGCTCTCTCTGCTTCCTAGACTTGAAAGGGGAAACACGTAGTAGCTGACAGCAGGCATTTTTTGAAGTAGCAAAAGGATGAAGCTGATACAAGAGGAGGGCAAAACCACAACCACTACGAAGAGAACTGAAGCCAGGGCTCTGACACAAGCAAGATCGAGGGCGGGCCTGCCTCTGGGCTCCTCAGTGATGTGAGCCTATCTTCCTTTTACCGCAAAAGCCCATGTGAGTAGGTTCTCTACTGCTTGCAACTAAAGACACTGACCTAATACATCAGAGATGGAAAGGGAGTTTGTAAATCACAAGCCCTAAATAATGAAATTGGCTCAAATGAAGAAGAGTAAGGAAGATTTCCTGTTCCTCATGCTGGGAGTTTCAATATTCTTGTTCTTTAAAAAAGAAGAAATAGTTGATCACAGCATCACCTGTTGCACCTTCGGACCAGACCACATGACTACAGATACTGTCATACTGAGGACCCAACAAGGAAAAAAATGAGGCTATCCAAATGTTTTGACTATTCCTCATAGCTTTTACTAATGTCCTACAGAGATGCTTACAGTATTGTTGTCTGTGTTTTTAGTTGTCAAATGTAAAATACTTTAAATCCTCAGCATTAAAATAAATTAATTCCTAATAAAATGCACACTTGATGGAGAAAGTCTAGATCCTATTTGTTTCTCGCTGTAGTTTTATAGTCTTATAATCCATTATAACCAAAAAACAACCTGGCTAAAAATTTGACTGTGAATTTAGAGGTTAGGGGACTTAAGAATACTTAAATAATTGTTGCATTCAAATTTTAACTCAAGAATTATGAAATAACAAAATCCTGAAAAGACTAATTAAAATCAATAACTAGATACTCTACATATCAAAGGGACTCTCGAGCCTAAGTAAATAAAGACGCCAATCAATAGAGAGACTAATATTTGAAATATTTCACAACAAAATACTGTAATTTTCAAAAATAAAATTCCAATAACCACATCCTTTCATTTTACCAGTACATGAAAGCCAATTTCAAATTACTGAAGAGCAAAATAAGATGTTATCATATATATCAGATATGTAAGAGTTCAAGGTTAGCAATGATGTGAGGATTGATTCTGATGTCCATGGCCAAAGTTTTCAATAGGATATGAGGTGAGAATTACCAAATTCACCACTGACATACTACTGTCCTTCCTCTTCTTAACTCACTCAACTTTTTTTGTTTTTCCTAGTTCTCTAGTGTGCTGTTCTTCTGATCTGTCTTCATTTGATTTACTGTTTGCTTATTCTTTTCCTTTGTCTCTGTCTGGATGTGTCCAGCTATCTGTGACTATGTCCCAGGACTCCTCTGCTCCTAAGTTTGGTCTTCTGTTGTCTCTTGCTATCTTTTTGCTCTTCCTTCTCCTTCCTTCCTTAGCCATAGTATTTAACTTACCTGACATGATTATGGAATCAAAGTTTATAATCTCTGTCTTATCATTTTTAAACAGTAAGATGACTTTTATTTCTGATTTTGTAAAAAAATTGTTTATTGAATTAATTTGTGTTGTGCAACCCTGAATTGATTTACTCAGTGAATTGGTGTCATGTGCTGCTTATTCACCACAGAAATAACCATTTTTACTAAGGTCTTTGGATCAAAAGAGTCATTCCCTGAACAGTATAAAATTAACCTTAGGAATTCACTAATCTAAATTACTAAAAAAAAAAAAAAAATGGCATTCAAATTCTGGGACTTATGTCTCATGTGTACTTTTGTTTTAAAAATTCAAATTTCAGGGCGCCTGGGTGGCTCAGTCGTTAAGCGTCTGCCTTTGGCTCAGGTCATGATCCCAGGGTCCTGGGATCGAGCCCCGCATCGGGCTCCCTGCTCAGCCAGGAGCCTGCTTCTCCCTCTTCCACTCCCCCTGCTTGTGTTTCCTCTCTAGCTGTCTCTCTCTCTGTGTCAAATAAATAAATCTTTAAAAAAAAAAAAAATTCAAATTTCCTGGGGCACCTGGGTGGCTCAGTCGGTTAAGCATCTGCCTTCAGCTCAGGTCATGATCTCAGGGTGCTGGGATCGAGCCCCATTATCAGGCTCTTTGTTCAACGGGGAGTCTGCCTCTCCCTCTCCCTCTGCCTCTCTCCCGATGCTCATGCTTTCTATCTTTCTCTCTCAAATAAGTAAATAAAATCTTTAAAAGAATAAACAAAATAAAAATAAAAATTTCCTAAAATCATTTTTTATTAAAAGATGGAATATCTAATTTGATAACATCTTATAAAAATGTGAATTTAGTGAGATCCTACACTGTGACTTGGCTTTGACACCTGCAGACTTTTACCATTAATTCACAGAGTCTTTCAATATTATAAAGTATAATGAATAACATTTTACAAATGTACGAACTCAAAGTAGGTCTATGGAGAGAAAAAACGAAGCAGAAAGAATTAATGCATCCAAACCAGATGATCAAAAATATATCAGAAATCAAAAATCTAAACTCTTGGTTCCTGGAATATAAACATTAACTTTTGTGGTTCCATCATTTATGATTTCTTTTTGTTTTTTATAACACCAACTTTATTCTCCATGAATACAAATACAGCAAATCACTTCTGTTTTAATTTGGAGTACACTTAAATCGTTTTCTTCTAGTGCTATAAGGTGTAAAGACAATGTTCTGCACTGAAAAAAATTAAAATAGTATCCTAAACATAATGAGAAGAAAATAAGACTAGAGTCAAGGGGCATTTACTATTTCTTTACAGAGTAAAGAAAGGTTAGCTTTAAGGTCAAATAGAAAGCCCATAATCAAATTCACAACTTAGCTATACTTCTCTGGATAGAGAACAGCTACACTAAGGTATCTATAATTTGATCAAACAATATGTCTCAGTGTTGTGATTCTCCATAATTTTATAGCACTTACTATGTGACATGCCCTAGGACGGTGAGTCACTCTGGCATTTAACCAGTCTTTAGAAGGAACTTAGATGGAATAATTTCCCTTTTCACTGTGATTCTAAGTTGACAACCCTCAGCAAGGCAATCTGGAAGAAGGATGACTAAGGGACAAACATTCTTAAAATGAAGTAAGCATGCAAGGTACTAGCCTGTCATATGCAGCAATCATAAAGTTGAGGAGGAGGCTGATGGACTGCTCCACGCTGATTTGGTGAGTAGAAGGAAGGCGCTTGTTCAGCTGGTAGTAGACAGAGGAGATGACAGTTTCGAGGCGGGACACACTGATCTCAGTGGTATGGTCCAGTGTATTAAGGCCATTGTCTCGGAAGGCTTCAATCATGTTCCAGATATCAACAAGATGGACTAAAACACAAAGAAAATGAACTGTCAACAATTTAAAAGTTTTAATTCATCAGAAAGGTATAAAAACTTTTCATTTATTTACAGCCAGCAGAATGGTGCAGGGTGGCAGAGTAAGATCCCAAAATACGCCACTTTGGCGTAAGGATTATTTTGAGCTATTTTGACACTTGAAAAACAGCAGGTGCCAAGAAGGTCACGCTAAACTTCTTTCTTCTTCTGGAAAGCAGGAAATAAACTCCCAAGTGAAAGATGCCCTCCCTATTCCAAGGGGAAAGAAACATTCTTATCCCCAGAGACAGTGAATTGAGGCCAAGAGAAATCTGCACAGATTTTATTAAAATAACCCTTATCTTCCTTGAGACTCCCCATATATTTTAGTTATTTTTCCACAAGTGCTACTTCTTCTTCCCTAGTATATCAGCACTTAGGCCTCATCCTTCCTTCGGGTCTTCATTTTGCTATGGGGGCTCCAGGTACATGTAAAAATCTGTGTGCTCTTCTCCTAATCTGTCTTATGTCAATTTAACTCTCAGGCCTAACCAGAGACCCTAAGAGGGTAGAGGTAAGGTTTTGCCTCCCTTACAATAGCCTCAAAAATATATATTGTCAAATTGAACAAAACATCAAAGAGACAAATTCACAAGCTTAGTGGGAGCTATTAACACGTTTCTCTTAGTAAGTGATAGAGCAAAGGTACAAAGCCTAAGTGCAGAGGTAGACAAACATTACAACTGGCAAAGGAGGCATAATGGGCACTATATGAAATACTGCCCCCAGTGATTAGAGAATATGCTCTATTTTCAAGAACACAAACAATGTGTATGAAAATTGACCTTATCCTGAGCCATAAAGCTAATCTTGGCAAATGTCAGAGGATTCAAGTCGTATCAACCATGCTCTCTGATCAAAATGAGATTAAGTTACAAATCGTCAAAAAGACCACTTCAGAAATTAAGAAACACAGTATAGGCAATGTCCTTAATCTGATTAAGGGTATTTACAGAAAACTGCCCCAAACATATTACTTAATAGTAAAATGTTGAAAGCCTTTCCTCTGATATTGTGAACGAGGTAAGAAATGCCCACTATCGAATGTAAATTGGTACGGTAACTGTGGAAAACAGTATGGAGGTTCCTCAAAAAATTAAAAATAAAACTACCATATGAACCAGTAATTCCACTATTGGGTATTTGCCCAAAGAAAACGTAGACGCTAATTCGAAAAGATACATGCACCCCTCTGTTTACTGCAACATTTATTTATATCAGCCAATATATGGTAGCATCCAAGTGTCCATTGATAGATGAATAAATAAAGAGGATGTGGTATACATACAGAATGGAGTATTATTCAGGCATAAAAAATAATGAGATTTTTACCATTTTCAACATGGACGGATGTAGAGGGTATTATACTAAGTGAAGTAAGTCAGAGAAAGACAAACACCATATGATTTCACTTATATGTGGAATATAAAAAAACAAAAGAACAAAAAACCTGAAACAGGCCCATAAATACAGAAAACAAACTGGTGGTTGCCTGAGGGAGGGAGATGGACAACATGGGTGAAGGGGAATGAGAGATACAGGCTTCTAGTCAGGGAATGAATAAATCATGGGAATAAAAAGAAAAGCATAGGGAATACAGTCAATACAGCCTTGTATGGTGACAGATGGTAGATACACTTGCAGTGAGCATGGCATAACAAAGAGTTACAGAATCACTATGTTGTATACATGAAACAAATGTAACATTGTGTATCAACTACAATAAAAAAAGAAAGAAATGGGGTGCCTGCGTGGCTCAGTCAGTTAGGCATCCCATTCTTGATTTCAGCTCAGGTCAAGATCTCAGGGTTGTGAGATCAAGACCCATGTCAGGCTCCATGCTCAGTGGGGAGTCTACTTCAGATTCTCTCCCTGTCCCCCTTCCTCTGCCCCTCTGCATGCTCACACAATCGTGCTCTTTCTCTCTAAAATACATAAATAAATCTTTACCAAAAAAAAAGGCAATGCCCATTATCATCATTTCTATTGTATTTTGGGTCCTAGCCAATATAAATAAGCAGTAATTAACCATGTGAGTTTCAGAAATGAAGAAATTTAACTGTCATTATTTAGAAATGACAAAATTCTACACGTAGAAAATCAGATTCTCCAGATAAATTACTAAAATTGATATTTGAGTCTAGAATGATTGCTAGATAGAAGATATAAAAGTCACTATTTCTATTACTGACAAAAATGAAATTTTAGAATACTATTTATAATAGTAGCATAAATCATCAAAGATTTAGGAATAAATCCAATGAAGGAAGTGCAACATCTCTACAAAAAAAAAAATCTATAAATATAATTGGCAGAAATTAAAGACCTAAATACATGGAGGGATATACCATGTTCACAGGAGGTAATCTGAAATTGGAAATATGGTGATTCTCCCCAGCTTAACCTATAGATTCAGTGCAGTCCCAACAAAATGCCACAGGGCTCTCCTTTAAAAGGATAAATTTTACTATATGTAAATTATACTTTAAAAAAAAGAAATAAAAATGGAAAAAATCCCAGCAGAGTTCTTTGTTTTATTTTGTTTGCTTTTAGTAGAAATTGATAATCAGATTCTAAAATGTATATTAAAATAAATGTAAGAGGCCAAAAATGTCCCAATCTTAAAAAGAAAAACAGAACAAAGTAGGAAGACTTGCTCTATCTGATATTAAGACTTATTATAAAGCAGGGTGCCTGAGTGGCTCAGTTGGTTAAGCGTCTGACTCTTGAGACTGACTCAGGTCATGATCTCAGGGTCGGAACTGAGCCCTGAGTTGGGCTCCTTGCTTAGCACAGAGTCTGCCTGAGATTCTCTCTCTCTCCCTCTCTCTCTGCCCCAAGCCCCCTCACACTCTCGCTCTGTCTCAAATAAATGAATAAATCTTAAAAAAAAAAAAAGACATTATAAAGCTACAGTAGTGGTTATTGATAGGATAGACAAACAGACCAGTGGGAGACAAGAGTCCAAAAGCAGGTCCTCTCATATATAGAAACTGCTATGAACATTCTTATATATTTCTCCTAATGAGTATGACGAAAGATTTGGGGGCAGTGAAGAAAAAAGGGTGTTGTTTTTTTTTCAATAAACAGTGTAGAGACAATAGAACGTACAGGTGGACAAAACTAAAGTTTTACTCCTACCTAAACTGTACATCCACAAAAAAAAAAAAAAAAAAAAATTTAGTCTGATTAAAGAATCCTAGGTGACAAAATCAAAGTTCTAGAACAATGCATCTTTTACTGTACATTACTAATGCCAGTAGCCAGGTTTCAGACTCTGAACCCTCCACACATAGACTACTGTTTCCCAAGAATAATTACAGGAAGAATTATTAAAATGGTTGTTGCTCTGACAGTGGTTTTTAAACTTTTTTACCACAACCCACAGAAATATATTTAAATCAACACCAACACACACACACACACTCTTCTAGATATATAAAAAACAAAAGTTTCACAAAATACTTTTAGACTTACCACATAATTTGTGTTCTGATTTTTTTTTTCTCTTTTTTTCTTTATTACATGTTTTAAATTCTGGCTACAGCTCATCAAAATGATTTCATGAACCATTATTGGGTCACAACCCATAATTTGAAAAACAATGCTTTAGGAAACCAGAGACTTCAGTCAGGACGGCATGGTAAACTCTCTAGAGAGAATTTTATGCTAAGATTTCTGAAAATAACACTTAAAGTAGGGTAGAAGTTTTCAGATGTAAAGTGACTTACCCAACATTCATGTTTATAGTAAATGCCAAAAACCAGGACTAAAACTCATGTTTTTCCAATTCTAAAGCCAATGTTCTTTCCATTATACAAAACCGTTCTTTATTAATACACACACACACACACACACACACACGAGGAAAGTACAATAAGTCTGACATAAGTTTATCTTCATGGAAATTAAGAGAAAAAAGATTTTATGTGTCTGTGTATATATATATAGGCCTACATATATATACACACACACATACACACATACATATTTTATTTACTTATAAGTAGCAATTCTCATAGTGATTACTTATAGAAAAGGCTGATTCATGTTGTATTCATTTTAATCAAGAAAATTAACTTATTACACCTCTATCAGCATATTACTGTTTTTTTCTTCCGGAAGCTGATTATCGTATTAATTTTGTATAAAAGTTATTTAAAACAGGTGAGAAGAAGAAATCAATTCTCTCATTTAAAGTACATTAATACTATGCCAGCCTCAAAACCAGTTACATTATTGAATTTTGTAAACATTTTGAGACACACACTAAATGACAAGTTCTTTCCATGACAAAGCTTACATTTTAATAAACACTTAAGACAAAAACAATTCAATTAACATTACAATATGACTAAAAGATACTAAAACCTTTTATTTTCTATTACTGAGTGCACTATCCAGCTATCACAGAAATTAGCTGAAATGACTTACGGTTGCATCGTTTTTGTACAAATCGTAATTTGCAAGCTGTTCTATAAGTTGATAGTCGTATGACATCAAAATTCTGAGCACCTGAAAAAAGTACAAACAACAGATGTTCAACGGGATTTACCACTGAATTTCTCAATGCTGGGAAGTGACTATTCCACAGCGTGTGCATGGGCCATATATCACATGTCAACCAGGCCTTCTTCTGAGGAAACAAAAGGGGTCAGGAAGGGTTAGGCACACTTTCTACGTGACCACTCCATGCCAGCAGTTTTGCCTACCTTATCCTGTCTGCCAGCCTGACAAACACCCTGATGGAGAACACTCATAAGCTCAGTGAATCTTTCCTTCTATACCACTTCTACAGGAAATACTAGGAAATCAATGGTAAGCAGCTGGGAAAGGGAAGTCCCATCCCCAATTAACCAAACAGAAAGAGTAGTAATCTGATCAGTCAGACTGCAGGACATTTATTGGGCCATGTTTGCTAGTGGAGAAATAACGACAGGAAAACGTCAGTGCATATGGTATAGAACTCACTCTCTTCAGATGAAGAATGAAATAGGGCAAATATCACACAAGCCCAAAGGGAACTAGTTGGGGAAAATGGGAAACCCCACAAGCTCCAGCCCCTGAAGTTCTAGGTGCTATTCAAGAATCAAGTATTATTCTTTGTCATTTTTCTCATACATTTACCTTCTTCTGAAGCAGTCATCTTTCCTGGTTTCTATAAGGAAAATCCTCATACACTGCTCTAAGAATAGCCTTCACTTTTAAAAAATTTCCCTTATGTAAGTGTCATGTTGATTTCCTGATCAGAAAATATGGTAGTTTGGCACATAAAAAATGGAAGAGAAAGCCCCCAGTGAAGAAACTAAAATGATTATGTTATCCCTTTGGATACTGTGAACTAGAAAAGATGACTCTTCACTCTATTATCATTCATTTTGAGAATATTTCCTTATAAGAAATACACTGAAATGTCACTTTAATACTAATGTCATACAGTATATTTCAAGCTTATCAAGAAATGGTACAAAGGGTCCTAACTAAACACATAGGCAGAACTCTAGCCACAGGTGGAGAGCCCAGTGAAGCTCCTGGACGGACAGGAGACAATCTAAAAATACTGAGTATCCAAGAGGTACAGCGAAAGGATGAGAAAGGATTAACCCTTCTTTCCATATTATGACTCTCTTCATTCATGAGAATAGGATATCAACTTCTATAGTATAACCAGATCCGAAGAAAAGCAAAGAGTCAAATGGAAGGGTTTTATTGTATCTGCCTGTATCAGAAGCTTGTATCAGAGTCTCCTGGACAAGAACCTGGAATCTTCGTTCCAGGGAGTCCTATAATCAAGCTAGGTTTGGAAAACACATAACTACCCCACTCAGCTACAAGGTCTGGCTTGTGCAACTCTCAAATTTACCTCACACCCAACTCCAATGAGTACGGGCTACATATAATTACCCAAACATGCCAAGCTCTCTCATCTGAGCCTTCGTAAGTGCTACTTACTACTCCAGCCCTTTCTTCATCACATCACTGAACTGACTCAGCCTAGACATTGCTTCCTCCCAGACCCCTTCCTGGGCCCCCCATGCTTCCCCAATCATGGCCCCAACTGCCCTATCATTCCTTATTTCCATTTTCAGGAAAACAAGTTCCATGAAGGCAGAGACCATTTTATTGTTGTGTTGTTTGCTACTATATGCTCAATAGGACATAATAAAACTAGCACCCGAAATATTTATTGAATGAATAAATAACTGAAAGTTACAAAGTTCTGTGTTGCTGGTATAAAAGACTGACCTGCTTTCCCCCAAAAATATACCAAGTAAAGTCAAAATATTACACAAACTATACAATTTTGGAAAAGCTAATACAAGGAGATGATAAAAGTAGTGGGGAAAGCAACTCCTTTCCCTGTATAAACATGTTGATGCATGTAGCATTCTTCAGATAGAACACAGGATTCCAAACTGCATTCTAGGGAGCCACAGGATTTGGTAGAGGTGCTTGGCACACCCACAGAAGGTGTAAGGAAGTAAGTATAGTTTGTTAAAAAGGCATTTAACTAAAGAGATGAGGAGAAGAGAAAGAGAAAGAAGAGAAGAGATAATAAACCTAGTAAATGTAAGGATAGTAACATTTCTGAATTGTCTGAAACCCTTACAACCATTTTTTTTAATAAAGATTTTTATTTATTTATTTGACAGAGAGAGATACAGCGAGAGAGGGAACACAAGCAGGGGGAGGGGGAGAGGGAGAAGCAGGCTTCCTGCTGAGCAGGGAGCCTGATGCGGGGCTCGATCCCAGGACACTGGGATCATGACCTGAGCCGAAGGCAGGCGCTTAACGACTGAGCCATCCAGGCGCCCCTACAACAATTTTTAATAAGCTAAACTTTTCAAGAGAGTAGGAGTCTGAATAAGTAACAAAAATAAACATAAATGACTTCCTTGTTTTTTTTGGCAGTATGATTAGAAACCCTGGGGATCAGAGATGAAGCCAGAGGTCCCAACAGAGAGGAAGGTACAGACCACAGAATGGTGACTCTGTCAGTGGGTGAACTAGAAACAGAAGAAAAAAAAATCCCACAAAAGGAAATGTTAGGGACACATGACTGGCTCCACCTAGATTTAGACTTAAATTTTTAAAGCAAACAAAGAAAGTGGTAATCAAGTAAGTTAGACAAAAGAAAAACTGACCATACAAAAAAACTATAAAGTCTAATTTGTCATGTTAAAAAAGGTAATACTAAAAATAGCATATATTTCATGAAGGAGGTGCTCTAAAACTGTCTAATAATCCTGTATTGCTTCGAATAAAGTTATAAATATTGATAAGCTCTGGACTTCATTTTAATTGATGTTAGAATTTTTAGGGTAGCCACAAAAAGAATAGAAAAAGAATATACAACCCACCACCAAGAAGACAGAAAAGTGGAATGGAAGGAAGAAGCTCAATTCATCTAAGGAAGGCAAGAAAGGAAGAAAAAACAACAGAGAAAGGACACAGTTTAAGCACAAAACAAGCTGGAAGAAAAAGTGAAATATATCTGTATTCATAAAAAAAAAATTAAACAGGATAAATTCTTCAGTGAAAAAGCAAAGACTGTCTGTCACAATAGTTGTTGTTAAATAATCTAGCTTACACTGCTTACAGGAGATACACATAAAACATAAAGAGATACAGGGGCACCTGGGTGGCTCAGTACTTAAGCATCTGACTCTTGATTTTGGCTCAGGTCATGATCTCAGGGTCATGGGATCAAGCCCCATGTTGGGCTCCACGCCCAGCGTGAAGTCTGCTTAGGATTCTCTCTCTCCCTCTGCCCCTCCACCCCCCCACACCAAAATAAATAAATGAATCTTAAAAAAAAAACATAAGGATACAGAAAGTTTTTTAAAAGAAAGAAAAGATACTGTACAAGGCATACTAACCAAAAGAAAACTGGTATAGCTATACTAATAACAACAAAATAAACTTCACAGCAAAAAGCATCACTAGAAAAAGAGTATACCCACATAATGACAAAATATTCAATTTCCTAGGTAGATGTAATATTTTAATACATGTGCATCTAAGAACAAAAGCTTCAAATCACTGTCAGAACTAAGGGGTAAAAAATTAAAGTCCATGATCAAAGCAGAGATTTTTTACAACTTTCAGTAATTAAGCGGTCAAATCAGTAAGGACAAAAAAGGTCTGAATAAAACATGGAACAAGTTAAATCTAAATAATGAAGAAATCATACACATTATTTTCAAGCACACATGGAATATTTACAAAAACATATAACAAAAAATATCACCAAATTCAAAGATTCTACAACAGCCTTCATTCCCTGACCCACATCCCAATTATGCTAAATATTTTTTTAATTAAAAGTCATTTATTTGCAAATTTAAAAGGGTACTTCTAATTATTCCTAAGAGAAGTTAGAAACCACAGAGAAGTGATCATGAAAATGGCATCTTTCGGAACACATGGAATGCAAAAATAGAAAATCACAGGAAAGAAGTTCTTAAGTGCTTACATAAGAGAGGAAAAAAGTCTGAAAATAAATAGCTCGAGTTACCCAACATAAGAAGTTGGAAAAAGAACAAGAGAATCGCCTGAAGTGAAAAGAAGAAAGTAATAAACACAATAGCACAAAATCATGAGGCAGAAACAAAGATACTTGGAGAGGATCAACAAAGCCAAAGTTCCTTCAAAAGACCGATAAAACTGACAAAATTTTGGAAAAGGACAAATAAAATCAGAATCTCTGAGCCGGGAGGCATGGCATCAAGCATTTTGTAGATTCATGTATACTTTAGTACCAGAGTAAAGAACTACTGTTCTAACTACCACCTTTCATTTTTCTTAGTAATTTTATACCATATAAGAATCATAAGCTAGCAAATTACTTGTATGTAATTTATTCCACTCTTCTTTCAATAAACATTTATCAAGCTACTGGGGCTACCAACATAAATAGATGTGATCCTTATTCTCATGGCACTTAGAGTCCATAAAAGAAAATACTAAGCATAGAAAGAATAGTAGGGCATTTAAAGTTACTGTCTAAAAACAGAAAGGCTTAAGAATATTATAGAAAGGAATAATAGTAAAGGTCACACAACATGAAAAAATACAACCTAACTAAATTATTAAATTATTAGGACTGTTTTCATGTTATACAGCAAAGTTGAGTCACTGTGACAGAGAACTCATCATATAGCCTGCAAATCCTAAAATATTTACTGTCTGACCCTTTAAGGAAAAGATTGTGAGCCCTAGCACTATATTTAGAGTAAAGGAGAAATATATTCATCTCAAGAGAAACAGAAAACATCTGATAAAAGTCAATACTCATTCATGATTTAAAGAAAATAAGAGTAATAACTCTTGGTAAATTAGAACCCAGAAGTAGTTCCCTAACCTGATAAACAACACAAAACCTACAACAAATGTCATTTAAATAGTGAAATATTACTTCTATCAAGTCAAAAACAAGGCAAGGATGACTGCTATCCTCCCTATTCTTCAATATATGAGAGGGCGCCTGGGTGGCTCAGTCAGTTGAGCGTCCAACTCTTGATTTTGGCTCCGGTCATGATCTCAGGGTTCTGGGATGGAGCCCTGCATCAGGCTCCGTGCTCAGCAGGGAATCTGCTTGTCCCTCTCCCTCTGCCCCTCCCCCTGGCTCATTCTCTCTCTCTCAAATAAATAAATAAAATCCTAAAAAAAAAAAAAAAAAGTTGCAAAAATAGTAGTCAAAACCATTTTTCTTTAAAAATAATACAGTCCCAGGGAAGGAGCAAGATGGCAGAGGAGTAGGAGACCTAAATTTCGTCTGGTCCCAGGAATTCAGCTAGATAAGGATCAAACCATTCTGAACACCTACAAACTCAACAGGAAATCAAAGAAAAGAAGAGCAGCAACTCTGAACAGAAAAGCGACCACTTTCTGGAAGGATGACTGGATGAAGCTATCATATGTGTGTTCTAGACCACCAACACTAGACATTTCAACACCAAGACCCCTGGCTTCAAGGAATAAGTGACCTAAGATGAACACCTGGACCTTGACCTCATTCTGACCAGTTCCTGGATCCCTGAGAGGACATGTGCACCTGAGCACAACCATTAGTAAAAACCCCCAGGCCCTGAACAAAGATGAGACTCATTCTCCTTTCCTTTCTGAGTCTCCTGGGTGGTCTGTCTGTATCTCTCTCTATATCTTCAATAAACTTTTGTTTCCACTTCCTAAAAAAAACAGTCCCAAAGAATGTACAACATCAAGAATGAACCCTCATGGGCGCCTGGGTGGCTCAGTTGGTTAAGCGACTGCCTTCGGCTCAGGTCATGATCCTGGAGTCCCTGGATCGAGTCCCGCATCGGGCTCCCTGCTCGGCGGGGAGTCTGCTTCTCCCTCTGACCCTCCTCCCTCTCCTGCTCTCTGTTTCTCATTCTCTCTCTCTCAAATAAATAAATAAAATCTTAAAAAAAAAAAAAAAAAAAAAAAAGAATGAACCCTCATGTAAACTACAAACTTTGGGTGTTACGATTTGTCAACACAGGCCCATCAGCTGTGGCAAATGTACCCTCTGGTGGGGGGTGTTGTTAATGGGGGAAGTCGTGCATGTGTGCTATGGGAACTTGCTGTACCTGCCTCTTAGTTTTACTGTGAACCTAAAACTGCTCTAAAAAAGTGAAGTCTTAAAAAAAAAAATGATGGATAGACCTACAATAAGTAAAAATCTATCAATTACCCACTGTGGCACAGAAATTAAGTCAAGTCACTTAAGGTTATACAGCCAAGATCCAAACCGAAACATCAGTGGATTCAAAATTGCCATAAAATCAACCCAAAACCTAGATGGTAGAACCCTATGATAAGGCTGACAAAAGATGATTTTTACATCCATTGAAGGTAATAATGCTGGAGATCTGGGGGGATGTTGCAAAGCAGAGAGCATGGCTTTTAGGAACAGACACCACTGTCAGCAATGCAATTCTTCCCATGAAGAAAGGGGAGACAAGAAGCCATACTCACCAAACATCTCCAAAACAGTCCATATCCTTGAGTCTGTTACAGAGAAAGGCCATTTGTTTGAGCTCTCTGTGTCAGAATGATGACATTCACTAAGGAGCAAACCCAAATCTTCACAGAAAACCCAGTTTCTACTCCAAAGATCTACCCCAGTTGTGCTCCCTTGCATGCTCATGTTTACTTACTGAAGGCACCCCACACACTTCTTAGTATCAGGATTTATTGTTTATCTAGTTGGTTTCCTTATTTTGTTTCCTCACCAAAATGTAAGCAATATGCGAGAAGTCAGGGACTATGTTCTGTTCTCCCCTTAACCTTAGCACCTAGAACAGTGCCTGGAACATAATAGATCTTCAATAAATGTGTTAAAAAATTAATGAAAAGATGACCCTTATGCTGAGCCTTAACGGTGAGTGCGCACAACAAGGCAGATGAAGGGGGGCCCAACTGCAGGAGCAAAGCCAATTCAGTACTGCTGGGAAATGACACACATGGCGGGTGATGGGAACTGGCAACCTGAGAACTGAGGATAAAAGAGACCAGGAGGGCTTGCCTGCAGGAGGGCTTGCCTGGCATGCCTAGGAGCTCAGGCTTTCCTGGGAGAGTGACGAGGAGCAACTGAAGGGATTTAAGAAGGAAGTAACACAGATTTATACAGTTCACTGCATACAGCATCACCGATCACAGATTTGAAAGGGTTGACCGTGGAAGGAGGGATCCAAAACAGATTGCTTTAGTTCAGAAAAGTAACAATGATAAAATATTAAACAAAACTAACCACATTAAATACCTACTATTCTGGGTCCAGCACTGTGCTAAGTGCCTAAGTGACATTATCCCATTTAATCTTCACAATCATTCTATGAAGTAGATACTATTCCCATTTTATGGACAAGGAAACTGTGGTACAGAGATTAAGTCAAGTCACCTAAGGTTATACAGCCAAGATCCAAACACAGGCAGTCTGACGGTAGAGCTTGGATTCAAAACCACTGTGGTACGAGGAACAGACCATCCAAGACTCCCTTATGAGGTAAAACTCAGCTGCATTTTGTGATTTCTTTGGAGGTGGAAGGTGAGGTAGAGGGAAGGGACTGCAAGGTTTCTGGCTTGGATGACTGGCTTGGATGACTACATTTATTTATTTATTTATTTGACAGAGAGAGACACAGCAAGAGAGGGAACACAAGCACGGGGAGTGGGAGAGGGAGAAGCAGGCTTCCCACTGAGCAAGGAGCCCGATGTGGGGCTCGATCCCAGGACCCTGGGATCACCATGACCTGAGCCGAAGGCAGACGCTTAACGACTGAGCCACTCAGGTGACCCTACATTTGTGCTTTTAATTATTCCTATATCTCTAAGTATTGTCCTAACAAGTAGCCCTCTACACCTTAGAATCTGTATCTAGTAAAAGGTAACTTATACAATGTATTAATTATTTCTCACCACCTGCAAGCTCATGGTAACAAGGGAGTTACAGCAAGAGATCTAAACTGACTGGTGCGCCTTGGGGCACCTGACTGGCTGAGTCGGCAGAGCAGGTGACTCTTGATCTCGGAACTGTAAATTTGAGCCCCACATTGGTTGTAGAGACTACTCACAGATATCCTAGGTAACATTTCTGCCTTAGTATTAATGATCTTGCTGAAGAAAGCATTTCAGGTCAACTCAATTATAATATACGCTCTGGCTTGAGGTCCTTCAATTCCATGATTCTTTAACTCCCTTTCTTCCCCGCCCAAGATTGGGACATGCTAATTCATGAGGCACCTGGGTGGCTCAGTCGATTAAGCATCCAACCCTTGTCTTCAGCCTCGGTCATGATCTCAGGGTCATGAAATGGAGCTCTGGGTTAGGCTTCGTGCTCAGCAGGGAGTCTGCTTGAGATTCTCTCCCTGCCCCTCTCTCTCTGCCCCTCAGCTCACTTGCACTCTCTCTCTCTTTCTGCCTCTTTCTAAAATAAACAAATCTTAAAAAAAAAAAAAAAAAGGAACATGCTAATGCTTAAAGCTCTGACTTCATCAGGGAAAAAAAAAAAAGGCATCCCCACCCATACAGACAAGGAATCCAGAAGCACTCAGGACTCACGCATTTCTATGAACAGCTGCCTCTTCTCCGCCATGGTCTTCCGCTTGTTCCCACTTTCCTCAATCATCCTAGAAACAAAGAAAGATACAATAAACCACTGCAATTTGACAATTCAACCAAGTGCTTATCATTCTGTTATGAAGAGGTACAGGAAACCAAGCTGTTGATGCACATTTAAGAGACAATCAGTAAAAATAAAGTGGAAGCCCGATATAGAAAAAGACAAACCACTGTCCCTTTATTTACTTGATAGCTTCTATAATATTACAAAGTCAATAATTAAATGAGCTTGTACACTTGCTTTCTGTGCTGAAAATATGGGGCTATGTCTTATTTCTAACTATGATTATTTTCTCTGCAGAGTCCTGGATTAGTTGGGACACAGCTTCCCATATCCCTACTGTTTTATCCAGATAAACATGGTACTAAATATAATTTAGAAAATAATTATAATGAAAGGCTAAAGAACATAATAGTTATTAGCTTATACATAAAAGACATAAATAAAATCTTCTATTTTCATATTAAACAATATTGAACAAAGCAAGAATTCATCCCCAAACTCAAAGAACTCCTAGAGATGAATTTTTTACCACACAGTAATAGTTTAGGTTGACAGACATAGGCTTTGACAGTCACTCTGTTAAAATTCTTTCCATGTGCTACCTCATTGAATCCTTCCAACAACCCTAGATACTGGTATCATTATTATCCCCATTCTATAGATTAGGAAACAGCCTAGAAAAGAACACTAACTTGCTTGAGGGCACAACTCAGAAGTGGTAGAGTCAAATCCCACCCTTTCACTAAACATCTTACATAATCATTGCTTTTAGATGCATACTGTCAAATCTCCACACCCAAAAAGCTAAAAAACCAATAAGCACAGACCCTACTGATGCAAAATCTGTGATAATTGCAGCTGAATTTTGCCTTATTCTGTGAAGAAAAAATATCTAGACAAAGAGCATAAGCCAAACAATTTCCCTAAGGAGATTAAACTGTTGTAAATCATGGAGTGATTTATATAGCACAGTCTCAAATGTATTAGAATCACAAATTAAATGGTAACTGCACAAAAATTACATATCCATTAAAACAAGGGGCCTGGCAAGTTTAGTTTTAAATATATCCTAAAGAAAATTTAAAATGTAAATGCATTCCTTAACATTCTACACCTAATATTTTGATAATTAAGACCAATCCTTTCCTAAATCATTGATGTATTACCAAGTAGGCTTAACACACATGATGGTTACTTAACAATTCACCCCCAAGAGAAAAAAATTTTAAACAGGAAGAAAGCCAAAAGACAAAGCAACTAGAAACAGCAAAAATATAATGAAATCTAGGTCCTAGAGAAAAAAAACAAGACTTGCAGGGCGCCTGGGTGGCTCAGTTGGTTAAGCATCTGCCTTCAGCTCAGGTCATGATCTCAGGGTCCTGGGATCAAGCCCCACATGGGGCTCCCTGCTCAGCAGGGAGCCTGCTTCTTCTTCTCCCTCTGCTCCTCCCCCCTGCTTGTGCCCTCTCTCTCATAAATAAATTAAAATCTTTAAAAACAAAAACAAAAAAAAAAGAGTTGGTACCAGTAGCCTATAATTACAAAGAAAGGAAGATATTTAAAAGTTTACTGCCTCCTCCCTAATCTTGGTCTCTCACTAGGTAATATAAATTTTATTTTATTTTATTTTTTTAAGGATTTTATTTATTTGACAGAGAGAGACACAGTCAGAGAGGGAACACCAGGAGGGAGAGTGCAAGATGGAGAAGCAGGCTCCCCGCTGAGCAGGGAGCCCAATGTGGGGCTTGATCCCAGGACCCTGAGATCATGACCTGAGCTGAAGGCAGATGCTTAACGACTGAGCCACCCAGGCACCCCTAGTAATACAAATTTTAAATGCTAACCATAGATTAAAAATAATATCATAATATCCTTTATAACATATCTCATTTGTTATAGCTTTTTTCTACTTTTGCTATTTCTCTACACCACTTTTTTTTTCAAAGAAAAAGAATTCCTGGAGAGCTTTAATTTCTTCATGACAATTTTCTAACTTTTGCCTTTATTTCCAAATTAATCTTTTTTTTTTTTTTAAAGATTTTATTTATTTGAGAGAGAGAATGAGAGACAGAGAGCATGAGAGGGAGGAGGGTCAGAGGGAGAAGCAGACTCCCCGCCGAGCAGGGAGCCCGATGCGGGACTCAATCCCGGGACTCCAGGATCATGACCTGAGCCGAAGGCAGTCACCCAACCAACTGAGCCACCCAGGCGCCCCTATTTCCAAATTAATCTTGAAAAAATTAATATAACTATATTCTGGATCATTGGGAGGTCTACCAAACTATAATGCTAAAACAAAAATATCAACACTCTCCGAAAATTTAAGGAAGACCCAAAGTTTTATCATGTTCAGTATGTCCAGACACAATACAAAATTATTTGGCAAACAACCAACCAAGAAAATCTTAATTCACAAGGGAAATGACAATCATCAGATGCCACTGACAAGATGACACAGATGTTGTTGTAACCTGACAGAGACTTTAAGTAGCGATTATAAAAATGCTCAAATTAGCAATCACAAACACTCTTGAAACAAGAGTTAAAATCTTAAGTGTCAGGGAGCCTAGGTGGCTTAGTCCTTAAGCATCTGCCTTCGGCTCAGGTCATGATCCCAGGGTCCTGGGATCAAGCCCTGCATCGGGCTCCCTGCTCAGCGGGAAGCCTCCTTCTCCCTCTCCCTCTGCCGCTCCCCCTGCTGTGCTCTCTCTCTGTGAAATAAAATCTTTAAAATAAAATAAAATGAAATAAAATCTTAAGTGTCAGCAGAGAAAGAAAAGATATGAAAGAAACCAAATGGAAATGTTAGAACTGAAATATACACTCATTGGGGGGAAGAGGGACTCACTAGATGGACTCAACCGAAGAATGGAGATGACAGAGGAAAGCCAACTTTAAGATATATCAAGTAGAAATTATCCAATCTGAACAGCAGGGGGGGAAAAAAGGCAAGAGAGAGATTTTTTTTTTTTTTAAAGGAATAAAGCCTCAGGGACTGGGTAGACAAAAACAAAAGATCCAACATTCACCATGTACTCAGAATCCCATAAGGAGAAAAGGAGTGTGGCAATGTGGTGAAGACATACTAGCTGAAGACTTACCAAGTTCAGTGAAAGACATACCACAAATTCAAGAAATTGAGCAAACAAGTTAAAGCCAAAGAAACTTGTTATGATGGTCACATCATAATCAAATTGAGAGACAAAGAAAAATTCTTGAAAGGAGTCAGCGTAAAAGAACATTTTACCCATAGGTAAATGATAGGGATCAGCCAATTTTTTTCTTAAAGGGCCAAACAGTAAATATTTTAGGTTTGCAGGCCATGTGGTTTCTGTCACAACTACTCACCATTGCCACTGCCGCGTGAAAGCAGCGACAGACAATACGTAGACAAATGGGTATGGCTTTGTTGAAATTTTATTTTGAAAACAGTCAGTCAACCCACAGAACATAGCCTACCAGCTCCTGTTCGAGAGGCATGATGACCTGAATTACTGCAGATTTCTCATCAGAAACTATGGAAGTCAGAAGACGGTGGAGCAATGCTTTTAATTTTACACTGAGAGAATACTAACCTTCAGAAATTAAAGAAAACTGAGAGAATTTGTAGTCAGCAGACACCCTCTAAAATAATTGCTAAGGAAAGTTCTTCAGAAAGGAAAATAATTACAAAGTGTTACAAATGAAGAACAGTAATAGAAAAGATGTTAGAAGAAATAACACCAATTTCATACAATTGCTACCAGAAAACACAAAAGAACATCTTACAATTCATTTTAAAAAGCCAGTAATATCCTGATACCCAAAACAGACAAAGTACAAAAACAAATGTCTCTCATGAACACAGACACGAAAACCCTCAACAATGAGCAAAATCCTCAATAAAATATTATAAATTGAATCAAGCCATATATAAAAACCTTGGAAGCAGTGGGAGTTTATCCCAGGAATGCAAGGCCAATTCAACATTTGAAAATTAATCAATATAATCCAACATATTAATAATCTAATTAAAAAAACATGTTTATATCAGATGCAAAAAGAGCATTTGACAAAATACAAGGTTCATTCCTGATGATAAACTCTCTGCAAACTAGAAGTAAAACTTTTCTACACCTGATAAAGGGCACCTACAGAAAACTTACATCTAAGATCACACTTAATGGTAGAAAACTATATGCTTTTCCCCTGAGACTGGGACCAAGACAAAGATGTCTATTCTTACTATTTCTATTAAACATTATATGGGATGTCTTAGCCAGTGAAATAAGATGAAAGATAAAAGGCAAACAGACTGGAAAGGAAAAAATAAAAGTATCCTTATTTTGCAGACATCATGATCTTTGTAGAAATTCCAAATTCTAGGAGCCAAAAAAAGCTCCTAGAACTAAAAAGTGAGTCTGACACTGTTGCAGGACACAAGGTCAAAACACAAAAGTCAACCACAGTTCTGTTTACTAGCACTGCACAACTAGAAATTGAATACTTTGAAAAACAGCATTTATAATATCTCTAACAAAAATAAGATGCTTAGGTATATACTAACAAAATACGTATAGGATTTGTATACTAGAATCACAAAACAGTGATGAAATTTTTAAAAGACCTAAACAAACAGAAAGACATACCATCTAGGGGCGCCTGGGTGGCTCAGTTGGTTAAGCGACTGCCTTCAGCTCAGGTCATGATCCTGGAGTCCCGGGATCGAGTCCCGCATCAGGCTCCCTGCTCGGCAGGGAGTCTGCTTCTCCCTCTGACCCTCCCCACTCTCATGTGCTCTCTCTCATTCTCTCTCTCAAATAAATAAATAAAATCTTTAAAAAAAAAAAAAAGACATACCATCTAATCAGACAGTCTAATCAAAATTCCAGCAGAAATTTTTGTAAATATAGACAATTCTAAATTCCATATAAACAGGCAAAGGGAATAGACAAGACAATTTTGATAAGGGAAAATCAAGATGCAGGATTATAGAAAACTTTAAGAATTACTATAAAGCCACAG